ATCTGAGAAGCATTTCATGCTACTTAACACGACACAGACATTCCTCATTTTTATGTACCTGAAACTCAAGCATGGATTTTCCTTTGTTGGACTCGAGCATGAAGCGAAAAGCCCCAATTCCTGTGTTGGGATTGTCAGCCTCTTCTCTGTTCCCCTGTGAACAACATCAAGCAGTTAAGGACCATGTGTTGCTCCAAACCACAGCATGACTTATGACGCATATGACAGCTTACATACTTTGACTTTGAGGTCAGCCACAGACACTGAGAGGATAACTCAAATATTTGATGCATATCCTTTTCTTGCACATTGATATCTTTAAGTTACCCTGCAGGGCTTTTGACCTCTAGTGTGCTGTGAAGCAGTGCTTTGGCACACAAACAATGACCAATACACAATCCCGCCAATGGTTTTACACTATTCCTCTGATCCACAGGTGATGGTAAGACATGCCAGTGAGGAGAAGACATAATCAATGTAAATTTTAAGTTTTCAAATATACTGTTCTATGAGAAAACATTTTTTACCTTTATTTATTCAGGGTAGGTCCGCTGAGAGGTCACCTCTCTTTTTCCAGGCCCCCCTGTTCACATTCATGCCTGGAAGCTGCCCAGTACTTCAGCCACACACTGACTGACCTGTGACCACTGGAGAGGTTGTGGTGAAGGGCCTGGCTCAAGGGCACCACAGTGGTGTCGCTCCTCTAAGTTTCAGGCCACCACTGCTTTTCTGCTTATTTCGCTTTCAAACCTCTTTTTTTTTTTGCACACAGGTTTTTTCCCCTGAGAAATTTATTGCAGCTGCTTTTAAAAAACTAAATAGGTGCCGGCTTGTCAAAAGTGAGAGATCCTGGGAGTCAGTCCAAGCACTAATACTTTACTTGTTTGTAAATGCACTGTGCATGCTTGCAAAGCAGCTACTGGATTTCAAAAATCTGTGTGCTTCTGTAAGAATCTGCGTGTTGTTTTAGAAGTTAGTCCCTATACAACATGCTTATGGCACGTCTGCCTTTACACACAACATTGGCTAATACAGTAACTTACATTAAAGGAGGCCAGGGCCTCACTCACACTCTTCTCAATAAAATCGTCTGTGATGCGACGAGAGGGGTGTTCATTGAAAACAGAGTTCATGAGGGCAATCTTGGCCGCGCTGCGTCTCGCCTCTGCCTTGGTGGGACAGAACTGTCAAGCAGTGAAGAAAAGATGCATTAGTAGTAGGTACAGTACAATCAGATATACAGTACATACAAAGTCAAAGGAGTAACATAGCCCATGTTTACATGGAAATAGAATGTTTTGCATAGCTCTTAATTTAATGTTTACTGGTTCTGTGCTTCCATATTTGGTATGCTGTGGTCGTAAGCATGTTAGGATTTTGTAAGCTTGTAACATGAAGCTTGAATGACTGTTTTTCTAACATTAATGGTATGGTATGAAATGTGTCTCCAAGAAACAACACATTCATTACTTTCACAGTTTTAAAGTCAAAATGTATCTTTTGGATAAACAGTCTTAAATAAGAAAACACAGACACTGTACCTGGAAACTTCCAAAGCAGCTGCCTCCTGGAAGACTGACATAGCAAACATATGGAGGGCTGTTGGATGGGACCATTTCATAAACAACTAGCGCTCCGTTCCGCAGATCAGCCCCTCTGGTTAGCTTCATCTGCCAAAACTCCTGTAAGGCTTCCACCACGTTTACTAAAGGGCAAAGACATAAAAGAAGTTTAATCACATCAAGGGATCTTTTCATCATGAAACATACATATTTACATAAAAATATTACAGCTTATAGAAATCTAAAGACTTTTTGTGATTAGTTTTAAAGTGCCATTAGTCCTTGCAACATCCTCTATAAACACAAAGATGGAAAGGGTGGAAGGAAGTTCATTTCAAGGATACCAGGGGACTTTCCTTCTTAAAAAAAAATTAATAGCTGTCTAAAGGAAATTCTGCATCGCCTGCATCATAGGAGCCGCAGAAAAAACACACCCTCAACTCTACTCTTTATATGCTCATGTGAAAAACTTCCTGTCCTCCACCAGGAAACAACAACACAGAAAAGCAGTTACACTGACAACTGAGTCACAAACGATTACTTGGAAGTGGGCCTGCAACGAGATGTGAGTGCAACCAACGTTATCCAGGGCTCTCTGACTTCTGGCACCTTTTGGTTCTTTCCTGCTTTTCTCACCGTCTGATATGAACATAGGTGGACTGCCTCTCGCTCACAGAATATGGAGCCTGATCAGTGGGTTTTAGGGCTGCAGCTCTGCCAAGCATAAAAACAGAATCCCCTGCCGAAGGCATATTCTGACATCAGAGACATAAATCTCTAAAGTACAAGCCAGATAATGTTGCTTTTACTGTGGGAAAGTGAACTGCTCACTTGGAACTGTTATCTTGTTGTCAGCCAGTTAAAGGCGTAATACGATTTTGAACACCACATTAAACTGTTTGGTTAGTTTCTGAGAATTTCCCTCAATGATAACAGAGGAAAGAGACAGGAAATATTGGGAGATAGCGGAGGATGACGTGAGAATGGTGCTGGTCCAGGCTTAAATCCAAGGTATGGCAGCAACATGGTGTGTTTCATGCTATGGTTTAAAAACATGGTCTTTTTAAAGTATGGGATGTGACTTATACTTAGACCACCAAAATCTTCTGTGATCAAAAGCAGCAGAATTGCATTGACCCGTGATGCACACTGTACTTAGCTATATTAAGAATTGAATTATTTTAGCTGTAAGTAATATGCACAAAGTTGACAAATGTATCAAAGGCACAAGTGAAAGCAGACACTGAGATTGTGAAAATGACATCACACATACTGTAGTAGGAAGCAGGTCCTGTTAAATTATAATTGACTGAATTATTTGAGTGTTTTGTCTTAACTTCCTTATTTATTGCAAACAAATGCCCTTTAATTCCCTGGTAATGGAATAATAAAAATTATATAAAGGGGAAAAAAGCCAAGTTACATCATAATGTGGTGGAAAATTATTAATAGCTTCCAAATGGAAAATATACCACATGTTTTTCACAGTACTGAAGATGTTAGGCAGCCTCAACGGGACAGAGGAGGGCAGAGGCACTTAGCACAGGGAGGGACAATCTGTTGGAAATAAATCCTATTAGCACAGGACTGGAACACTCGAGTTAACTCTCAACATTATAGCAGCTGTTGGTCTCTTCTTAAGTTTTAAGAAAGCACCACTGAGCTGAAGTGATAATAAAAAGGAGCTTAAACAATATTCATGAGACAAATAAACACACATTTAAGCCCAAATAAATGTTTTCAGTATATTCTAAAATGCAAGTGTTTGTATAAAATGTCCCTGTCATTGTATGAACTACAACCACCTGGTAAACTAGTAAACTACTACTTATATGATGAATTTGGTACAAAACAGTTTTGCTGGTTTTGTTTGATAGACAATTCTATTTCAAGAACAGAAAAGCAGACTGATTCACCCACTAACTACTGCCAAAGTGTCAAGCCACTGCCTTTTGTTAGTTTGTATTTTGACAGTTTACATTAGGCTGTGGGACCAGTATTGTACCGCGACAAAAGGAAAAGCACACACATTTAATGTTCTTCATAATGGCTTATTGTTCGTACAAGGCAGCCTCCAGTTAATCCTATAATGTGACTGAGGAAAAGATTAGGGCCTATTATAGTTGTTTTTGTGGATATCAAAGGAAAAGTTTGGATTCCAGAGAAACACTGTGACACTGCATCACGCCAAGCTTGCACTGTGAAACAATGCTAACACAGTGTATGAATAAATATAACAGTATTACTCTTGTTTTTCCTTCTAACCCACTAACAGATGGCACAGCTAAAAGTGGTTTTCTGCTGTTCACAAGTCCCCCCCCCAAGTACAAGCTGAAACAGACAGTGATTAACATGATTATCTCCACATTCAACCCAGCAGTATCACTACTGGATGTTACCTCTGCCATAACCCTGTGTGTGTTTGGCAAAGCTGCGGACCACAGCCTCCACCGCCTCCTTCAGCACCGCCGGGTTCCCAGGGTTACAGTGGCCGGTAGCCCCCGGCCCCAGCCCGGCTCCGACTCCTCCGTAAAGGCTGTGCAGCTGCAGCGGAGGCGGCGGCGGTGGAGGGCCGGACGAAGCGGCCAGAGAAGCCGGGGAGGGCAGCAGCGGCGCGATGGGGACCGTCACCCCGGGACGGAGAGAGGAGCGGAGGGGCCCGGTCGGTGCTGAGCCGAATCCAATCCCAGGCTGTAGCCTCTGAGGGCGGACGCTGTCCGGGATAACGTTAGATTCCATTGTCCCAACGTAACGTCTGCGAAGTCCGGATCCGGAGGAAACCGACCAACCTGACAGTCTCAAGTCCAGAAATGATATGTGTAGGCTGAATGGCCAAAGTATTAGCAGGCTTTCGTCAATCACAGCCACAATAAGTACTTAGCCATGTTCGTTCGACACATAACACCGCTGCTATGCATCCTCGCGCTCTGGATTAGACTGCAGGACTGTCCGTCACATGGTGCCTTCACGGACCTCTCGTATTCTTCCTTCTATGGTTTAAAGGACCACCACAACAGCTTTTGTGCACTTTTCAGCCATGTGTGACGGTGTTTTGAGCCTGACTTGTAGCGTCCTAAAAAACCAAACAAATAGTAGTATGTATGATTACTGTAGCCATTCTGTGCTCGTTGTAGGTGTGTAAAGTGAAGCTGATGTTATGCTATTGTAATTTTTACAGTGACTGTATTTATGTGAATAGTGTGTTTGGTTGTAGTTCAGGCCAGTGTTTGTCATAATGATGTGTGCCTGTATTGTAACATGCAGCATATTGTTTAATCAGACACAAGCATATCTTAATACCATTCTATTTCTCTTAATTTGTAATTTTGTTCTCATTATTTCCATTTATTTGGGGACTCTTCTGCTGTGTTTCCTGGTTTTTATTCCTTTTTCCAATTGTTTTTTGTTAATTGCTTTCTTTTGGTTTGTTCAATTTTGTGGAGTTATTTTTTTCATCAGAAGTGACGGCTTAAGAATATGTGTTGAATGCTGTACATGTTGTAAATCTCTATTAGGTGAACCTGATACTGGACCATATCAATAGAACTGACTTATGAGAGAAGATGATAACACTTGACCTGGATCTTGACCCTGACCTTTAAATCGGATAGCATTCAAGAAAAAACTCCAAGTTTACTCTTTTCTTCTTTTTCTTTCTTTCCTTCTTTCTTTCTTTCTTTCTTTATTTCCTTCTTTCTTTGCTTGTTCTTGTAGTGGCTTTGTTATGATTGGTAGAAATATATTGTCCAGATGCTTCTAATGATTTGTTTACCCCCATTTGGATGACAAACTATTAGAAACTCACAAGTTATTGATGGAAGATAAACAAGCTAAAGACATACCAGAATTTAGCAAAGAGAGATTTGTGTTTGATACTTGGTTGTACGTGGACTTGCTGATATAATTTGTAAAGTCAAATCTTTATTGTTTGAGGTTGCCACAAACTGCACCATGGGCATGTTAATTTTGTTGCTCTTTACTTGTTGTTAATAAAATTAACAATTAGTTTGCTTGGTGTCCTTATAGTTATGGTTGACATAAAACTTACATATGCACATGTACTGGTCGACAGTACATGACATATTACCAGGAAATACATCAGGTACTGTCGACCAGTACTGTTTACATTCTGTTTGCACATGCATAATTGCACATTGACTGTTGACTGCTGCACATGCTGCTCCCATGCAGCATACATTCTCTTATTATATTCTTATAAATTTTTATTATACTGCTGCATTTGCTGCTTAAAGTGCCTTAGATTTTGTGTTACTTATTTATCTACTTTATATTTCATTTGTATTTTGTGGCATTCATGTGGACGGCAAAGTAAGAATTTCATTGTACAGGGAAACACGTTTCCTAACTGTGCGTATGACAAATAAAAACTTTGACTTGATATGCTGCAATAACTAAACAAAAAGAGCTGTTGAAGTCATAATATAGTCGTTTTTTTAAACAACAGATGTCCATGCAGAAATTTGGGCATCAAAAGTTACACCTCAATTCTGCAATATTAAGTTTGTTCAGCAATTAGCTGTTGTTGTAATATTTCCCACTTTTTAAAAAGGAAATGAAGGCAGCAGTGGAAAGTCAGAGACCTATCAAGCCAAGAAATGTGAGCCTCCCTTGTTCTCCTCTGGCATCGACACAGTACAGCTACAGTGTGGTTTTACAGCTCCCGCTCAGCAGCCTGATGCATGTGATCAAAACTTACTGTAGAAGCACAGAAACTCAGTTTACTGGATGTTAACTCTTTGAAACAAGCAACTAGAAAATCAAGGTTGGTAGTTAAGTGATATGTGGAGCACCAGCTTTGTACACAAACCTGAAAAGGAAATGATACCTTCTCTTGTGCTTCCTAACTTTCTTTTAACGATCTTCTCTGTAATTTTTCTGTCATCTGGAATGAGGCCAGAGAGACACTGGAGGAACTGGGGGCTATTTGAATAAACCTTTGTTAAAGCTCAATCAGCATGAAAACAAAGATTAAGTCATTGCACATCTGCTTCCACTAAAAAAACAACAACAACAGCAAATTTTAAACAAATTAGAGTAGAGAGAGAGAGACTGAAAATCTTAAAGAAGAAAAGGAAATTGCTCTAAAATCTCAAATGTGTGCGCACATAACAGGAAGACAATTGTAGTGATAACTTGGTTCACTGGAGGGCGTGCTGCTGTTTCATTACATCAGTTACTAACCACAGATATGCAGCTTATAGCTTAGGCTCAGTGCAGTGGGTTTCTCCAGTGATTTTCTGATGCTTGGTTTGTCTAAGTTGAGCATTTACAGCATGTTACTACTTCTACTGAAGTCAAGTATTTCAGTACTTCTTATAATGCCGTACTTCTTTACTGTGCTGTGACTCAACCACCACCAAACTAGGCCCAATAAACCCTTCACTGTAATAACTGAGTTTGTGGGTGAATCTGCCTCCTCGGAGGTCAAATGTTTCACATCTGTTTTAAATTTATAAAAGAGCCATGGTTTGTTTTTTAACTGCTTTCCAAGTTTTAGGTCAGCCATTTTTACAGTAATGATCCTCAGTTAATATCAAACTGCACACATTTTTCAGCTTTACATGTTCTTATTTTAAACTGCTAAAGTGTCTTCACTATTTATTTCTACCTCAGCTCTTTGGTGTATATTCAGGCCCACATCATTATTATATGCCATGTGTTCTGCAGCTATGGTGTCTAGAGAATACAAGTTTCAGAGGGTCTGAGAGATGTAAACATCCTAAGGTGTTTCTACCAGGGGAATCCAGGCCAGACACAGATTCTCTGTAGTCTGGTCCGTTGACTGTTCTGGTCTCATATTCCACATTCTCACATCTGGTTTTAATCAAAGCTTTATAGTTGTATTCTGTCTTTCAAAATTCAGGGCATTCCCATAGATGTACTGAGAGTCATGGGAGGGTTGTCATTCAAGTTTTCTTAAACCGCTCACGCTGTTCTCTACTCACGTCTTTCCAATCAATTATGTTTTTTATTACTGACTCAAGTGGAGTGGAGATGACAATTAATTACTTTACAACAATCATAAAGATAAACTGGAGCTGTAACACCCTGCTCGAGGTAAACCAAAGGTAAAAGGTTTCTATATGGCTGAGTGTCATTCAGAAGACTTTCCTCATGGGACTTCTTTTCTTTTCTTTTTTATTTGCTCATTAAATTCAGTTCAGTGAATAATAAAAATGTTTTAACATTTTAAATTTGCTTTTTAAAACCCGTTTCCTTTTAAAAGTAGTTTTCAGTATGGTCATTTCTGCATTGACAATTGTCCACTAATTTAAGACAATAAACAGAGGCTGAAGTTTCCACTCTTTATGTGCTTACTGTTCCTATCCCAGTGAAAACAAAACATTAAAGAAATACATGTAAAATGTTTTACAATATGTGAATATAGAGTATAATCACCTCTCACTGATCATCATTAATATTAAAATGAAAAACATCCCAGAAGAGCATTGTTCCTTTTGTTACAAGACTTCATTTTTGTTTATATCATGAAGTTTCCATTTGATTATCCAGGTCAGTCCTATCAGATACATACTAAATATGCCACCACAATATTTATAGCTTAAATTACTTTGTAATCTTTTGATGGAACTATGCACAGTAAATACACATCACACACTGTACCTGGAAAGCATAGTAACACAGAGCACATCAATAAATCAATCATTTAGAACTCACTAATACAATAAAGATATCAATTAAAAAACAAACTCTGTGAAAAGCACCTGATCATTAATGATGACTCATGCCTCCTTTAATAGTTTCATTCTATAATAATAATGATCAACTTGAATAAAAGAGGACTTTACAACATAAACACAATAGTAATTTAAAGTAATATTGAAAACAAAATGATCAACATTAAAAACAAAATTACAAAGTAGCTACTAAAGGCAAACACACAACAACATTTAAATACAGTCAGGTAGTGTACCCGTTATCTGTGGAAGCTGATGTGGCAGCATGAAAGGTCCTGGCCTGCTGTTCAGTGTGAGTAGGTGAGTAAGTGTTTTGTTTGTTTCTCGTTTTCGTTTTTTAATCAATATGATAAGATGCACAGTCCTCTTGATGTTGGACAGTCAGCAAAAACACTGCTGTTGGACTTTGGTTTAGTTTGCCCAGGTGGCAGAGCGAGCAGCAAGGGTCAACATCCAATAACGTTGTTTCTTTATCTTATCCAATCAGATTCACATTAGAACAGGCTGCATCACCGTGCTGGACTATAAACAGTGTGAAGGTCTGGCAGGAAGGCACCATCTGGTCCAAATCCTCCCGTGGTACAGGTGAGTCCCATTTTCTTATGAGCTTAAACTGCATTTTATACACTAAGACAAATCAGTTCAATGTAAAACCGTCATGTAAAATGCATTGTAAATATTTTTACTTAACTGTGAAATTTTACTTTTTGAAAGTAGAATGTACCCCTTTAATACACTGAGATCTGATGATGAGAGAACAGATGTCAAATAAGAAACCAAATCTCAGGCCTAAAAAGGATATACAAATTATGTTTAATTATACAGAGAAGGGATATTTTTCATATAGTTAACATATAACGTCTTCGATCTAGAAATCTAAGTCCAGTTGATTTTTTCTAAAGTTTTTTCAGTTTACTATGACCTGGATGACTGAGAATCTGCACATAGTTAACACATTGTTGACTTGCGTAAAGACCTCATCAGTCATCTTTGTTGCTGGAACCAGGACTAATTGCTTTGGTTTTAAAATGGAAAATATTTTCACTAAATTATGTCCTGTAGGTTTTGTATTCCTGGCCCTTATGCAGAGTAACTAAACAGGTTTGTTTCTCTAGGTCTTCTCCAGTCAGCAGCCATGAAATTCTTCCTCATTGCAGCCACTGTCTTGCTTGCCCTGGCACAAGGTATGAGTTTATCATATAGTCATTTTCTCCAGGTGTAACTAAAAGTATTTTGTTTATTAAATAGCTGTGAATGACGTCTTCTTACTAAATTGATTTGTCTTTGGAACCCGACAGGAAGCTTTGCACAAGATGCTGCCGACCTTGAAAAGCTTGGACAGTACTTAGAGGAGTTCAAGAACAAAATGACTCATGACCTGACTGAGCTGATCGGCAACCAGGACCTGACAAGCCAGGCTCAGTGAGTAGTTAGCGTCACAGCTTAATCACGACTCATGTTCAGGAGCATTAAAACCTTCCTGCTGCTGGAAATAGCAATGTACAACTGAACAAGTTCCTTGTTGTAGTACAAGTTTGGTTTGAGGTATTTGTATTTTACTTAAACATTTTATACCACCTTATACTACTATTCCATAAAAACTAGTTACTTGTCATACACTTAAGATAAGGATTTTACATACAAGACATATGACTCATTGTTATAGATGAAATTAAGAAACTGTATATGAAATTATTAGCTTTAGCACTATTTAAAATCAATAGCAATGATCCAAAAATATGAATACAGGGCTATTCTGCATTAGTACTTATGCTTTTGATACTTACAAGCACAACATTTGTTCATAATTTTCATTTTTAGTGAGATATAGCTTTATGTGGTTGCTTTTTCTGAGATTTCCAACAGAGAAAAGTGCAAATATCACAGTATAAAAATGTTCCAGGTAGTTTTTTTAATTTTTCTGAAGGTGGTTTCACCCTTTACATTAAGTTAAATAAATGACCAAAGGAAATACTAAAATTAATTTTGTAATGCACAGTCACTTCTCATCTGACTATTACTGACTTTGCAATAATAAGGACTTAAAATTAACACAAACTCCTCAGTATCCTAGAACACAATACTAACAGAAAGCGAACTGTATACTGAAATTCTCATTTTCATAACTGGTGGTTCATGTTTTACCATAAAGGACCTTCCTGGAGGACAAAAAAACCCAGCTGGAGCCCCTGACCACTCAGATTCAGGATCAGATCAAGACTGTTGCCACCAACATCGAGGAGCAGATCAGACCCCTGGCTGACAACATGCAGGCTCGGATCCAGCCCATGATTGCAGACTTCCAGAAACAGGTGGAGGCTATGTTCCAGAAGCTGTCGGAGCTGAAAGGAGCTGCCAGCAACTAAACCAGAAATGTGCCGTCATACCATCTTCTGTTTGCTGGACTGAGTTAACAGAGCTACTTGAATTTATGGCTGACCTGATAGTGCAGGTACAAATACAACAGTCTAAAAAGTGTTTCAGTTCTAATTAGGATTATTCATCATCTCTGTCCCAGACCACAATAAAAAAAACCTTGGAACACAACTACATGGTACACATTTAATTTTGTCTATGCCTGCATGTGATTTTTTTTTTTTTAAATCACTTTACTATTTGAATTATTTTGATTTGACCAACACAACCTTAAAACATTCAGGATTATACCTCTTACCATAAAAAACTGCATCAATAGATAAACCCAACCTGGAAAAAGAAAAATCTGTCATTTCTAACACCATCGACTGACACATTCCGATTACGTTTATGAGTTTTATTCAAGCAAGCAAAGGAAAGTTTCACAAAACAGGCTTCTTCAACCCAAACATTTAAAAGGGATAAAATGGCAGAAAGGAATGTTTTCAATCTTAATTTAACTCTCCTCTAAAACCCCCCAGAAACGGATCATTTTTTATTTTGACTTTTCCTCTTTTTTTTTTGCATATTTTCTCATTTTAACTCAGCAAACCAGGTCTGGCGTTCCTCACTGTAGACCTGGCTGGAGATTTGTTCCCATTATTTTTTAATATATATTATTTGACTTCTTTTACTTTGTTTTATGTATGTTTTTTTTTTTACTTTTTCCACTGTTCACTTCTTCTCCTCCATCAGTGAAGCTAGTCACAAGGTTCCCCACTCCTGTGGATACAACAAAAATTCAATCAGTGATATTGTTTGCATGTAATATTCAAATTCATATTTCAAGTCCTTGTCAAACAAAACAAGTACTTCTGCTTCAAAACAACACCAGCCTTCTGTTAAATCAAGCTGCTACCGGACTAACAATGCTGGTAAATGAATGTGTGCTTGTACAAGTTGACACCGTGAGGGGACACAATCTCCTCACAACACTGTCCTGTCCTTGTTAAAGCAACTCTTGAAAACCTGTCCTACCTTGGGTTCAGACGCTTGGAACACCAACTGAGTTTGTCACAGTCTTCTGGGCGGCCTCCTTGGCCTGGTGGGCCTGAAGCACCGCCACCGCCTCATCCACCTACAAAGATTAAGTTGACTGATGTTAGCGACACAGCAACAAGGTGGGTTCTCAAAAGTGCTCTGCTTCCACAACATCCACCTTTCCTGTGTCTAAAAGATAATGGCACCTAGCCTCATATGTTTTGTATTCACAAGCTTTCTCCAGTGCTGGGGTTTCCCATGACTATTATATCAAAACCAGAAAGTACTATCCTACTGTCCTGTTAATACTACATCCTGGGAGAGCTTCAGAGAGACAGCAGAGAAAACTAGTCAATATTAATGAACTTAAACACTTGCCTTTGAGCGGAGAGACTCTGGAGATTCCAGCATGTGGAGCAGCTCTGAGTTGTCAATCTCCAGCAGCATGCCAGTGATTTTCCCTGCCAGGCTTGGATGCATATTCTGGATCAGTGGAAACAGACGCTCACCTAGAGTAGTGACAGATAACAGTGGTTTTAGGACAAGTTACAATTAAATAGATGTCAAATGCTAAAAATTTTGTCTTTGGTGAATTAATCCAATGTCACATGTGCCAACTTACTGACAATGACTTTTAAATTCCTCGAACATATACAATATACAAGGTACAGTGGGGAACAACTGTATTATGACTACCAACAGAAGACATCTCTAGTCAAAATAGTATTATGCAACCTGGGTCTACTGAGAAACAGGAGTTATGTCAAACTAACATGGTACAGTATAAAGTCATGCACAACTGTTGCTGAAACTTACCCAGCATCTGCTTCTGTTCCTGTGGTGGAGCAGCAGCCAGCATGGAGGCAGTCAGAGGCTCCTGTCCCTGGACATGGACAGCAGGCTGAGGGGAAAGGAATAGTCAGACAGAATGTATTGAATGCACCTCAAAAAAAAAAAGGAATAAAAGTGTGTGGAGGGCAAAATCAGTCAATGTCTGCCCTACAGAGCTCTCCATTATTACCTGCTGCATGGTGACTTGTGGCTGAGCAGTCATGTGCTGCTGGGGATTGCGGACTCCTGCCGCATACCCCCCGCAGGGGGGGGCCGGCCGCTGCAGCAGCTGTGGCCGGTCGGGGTCCCATGGTCTGAGCGGCTGCAGGAAGAGCCACAGAAATATCAATGCAAAGACAAGTAAAAGCAACACAACTGAACTAAAGTTAGACTAATGGCTGTGTGTAGGTGACTGACCAACACGCTGGGTGGACATCATGCGAGGCACCTGGGAGGTGGGCCGTATGGTACTGAAGGTCTGAGGGCGTGGTGCTGAGGGACGCATGGTACCTGGCATGTTCTGGAAATCTAGGAACACACCAAAACACAGCAGATTACAAACAAATGATTATGAGTGTTCTGCTGTGTCTTATTGTGCTTGCAAACTGTCAGTAAATATACACCATGATAGTAGGATAGGCTTAGGGGGGTGGGATACTCACGCTGTGGCCGGACACCCTGGGTGGTCCAGCGTGGGCTTGGGCGGAGCTGGGCCATCTGGCCAGCAGTTGGGTAGTAAGCAGCGCGGTTCTGAGCCTGAGGTATGGCTGCCATGAAGTAGCCAGAAGGCGGGGCTGGCTGGTAGGGATTGATGACTGGGTTTGGCACTGCACGCACACTGGCCATGCGTTGCATATACTGGTTGGTCAGGTGGGCTTGACGCTCCTCTTTCCGCTGGGCCAGGGCCACATACAGTGGCTTGGTGGCTACAATGCGTCCATTCATTTCTGTCACTGCTTTGGTGGCCTCCTCTGGGGACGAGAAGCAAACGAAGCCAAAGCCTTTGCTGCGCCCAGCTTCCATCATCACCTGACAAGAAGTCCAGGGAAATGAATTTTACATACAAAAGTATTATTTCTGGTATGCATCACTCTAAACTGTAAATATACATCTCATACGAGATGTTCTTTCAAACTACTTGGATAAAAAAAAAAAAAACAACAGTGAGGTCCAACCTTGGCACTGGTTATGGTGCCGAACGGTGAGAACTCCTTTCTCAGGCGTTCATCATCAATTCCATCATCTAGGTTCTTCACATACAAGTTGACACCCTGAAAATAAATCAC